TACATATTACACATTAAATTTTCTTTTCATCATAATAGCAGTACGTTTCATTTTCGAATACTTCTTCAGCATACTGTGCGCCGGCCTTTATTAGCTCGCTTTTTTGTTTGTTTAATAGCACTTTTATCCCATATCCTTCGTCGTAAACGTTATATCGGCATATTGCCATCTTACTTTTAAGCGCAGTTCAACTCAAGTGCCATGCAGTGCACACGCCACCGGAGTGCTTTATGCACGTGGATTATGTTGTGATACAGATGTGACATAACGCAGCAGTTTCAGTCTGAATTCATGTGAAAGTGAGGAATATACATGTGCTAGTATTTGAGAATACCTTCTACTGTGCTGTCTCATATTGTAAAATTTAAGAGAGAGCGACAGAAGAACGTCCATGGTAACTTGAATCATCAAGGCGTATTTGATGGACTCCCGGTCCGATAACATGTTGTTTTCCTTTCATTTTGGCGCTGGTACCAACACTGGGTCAGAGAGAAAAGATGGGGAGGATGAGGGAAAAAAAACCTGGAAATTCTTATAATCTTAAGAGGTGTTTACGAGATGGGGGGGGTCTCCCTTCTAGTTGACCTAGACCACTTTTTTAGCTTTTCAGGCTTTTTGTCATTGCCCACGAAAAGCTGATACAACGAAGCGAGGGAAAGGAAATGGGTGATACTGTTATACCCAGTGCACACTGCAATCGAATTCTTCGGATTGAGTCGGGCCAGTCTGATTTTCCTCCATGATTGAGGCCATTTATTTTGGCTCAACACGACCGAATTCATCTAAATTCGACAGTGCCGTTCAAAACAAACGCGTTAAATTTGTATTGTGCAAAAAGGTAACTATTGCCTCATACATGAAGGAAGATCTTGCTGGCTCCGACTTAATCCGATGAATACGATTGGCAGTGTGCGTGCACTGGGTGTTAGAGACACAGGAGGTGAGCGCAAAAAGTTAAACAGAGAGCACAGAATGAAAGATAAGGTCAATCTAGAGAAAAACCTCTTGTGTTGGAAAAAAAGTAAACTGGGGTTTTACTGGAATTTGTGTTGCCTTTTTTTCTTGTTCAATGTTAAAGTTAAAGTGTAGAGGAAGGGAGAAATCTTTAGTTGCAGCAACTTTTAACCCTTTTAACGTTTGATCTTGAACAGATGCTATAAAATGTATAGTCTTATACATGTATATCTCTAACTATTTGTGAAAAGTGGGTTGTGAACAAACTTGTTTATTCTAATTTCAAGTATAGTCTTATACATGTATATCTCTTACTGTGTGTGAAAAGTGGGTTGTGAACAAACTTGTTTATTCTAATTTCAGTAATCCAGAACAGATTAATGTGAGCCTCCCCCTCCCTTCCCACCAACCTCTTAAAAATTGTCTACATGAAAGCTGTTATAACCGCCATCTGTGGTGTGACTGAGTTCGGGAGTTCGATTCCCGAGCAGTAGAAGAGTTGTTATCGAGCATCTTAGTCTTTGTGCTGGGATGTTGTTGTATCTCTCTCCACCTGGGTTGGCCCTGATCAGTAGGGCCAAAGCCTGCCTCCTAAATGATCTAAAATTTTTCGAGGAGGGCGTAAAAGAGTACATTTTTTAAAACTCTGCTTAGCAAGCATAGATGTAATTCTTCGAAAAAGCTCATAATGTTGCTGACTCTGTGCCTGTGTGAGTGTGTGCGCGCGCGTGTGTGTGTGTGTGTGTGTGTGTGTGTGTGTGTGC